AATCGTATTAACAAAATTTCTTTGGGTTCATCATAGCAGCCGCGGTGTTCCGGCATTTAGGCTTCTGCCTGCGCGGCTGTTTCGATATATAAAAAAAAAAAAATATATCAGTATTATTCAGCCCAATCCGGATGTTGTCTGTTTGCACACTCTGACCTGAGGTTAGAGCTAGCAGTCTTGCTGATTTCCTCATCCAAATATGTACAGAACTTACCAGTAACCCCTTTGGTTAGTTGAGTACAACCACAGTATCTATATTTCAGTTGAGATCGCCTCAGCCTGTAAGTGCTTTTCAAAAACCATCTTATGTCTGCATCGTTAGTAACATTTTGGGTAAAAGGCTGATGGCTCAAACAATTATATCTTGATTTCTCACCTGTAATGTAAGGAATTTCAAGTTAGGAAACCAGACAAGTATTTCTTTCCGACGAACCTCCTACCGTAACCTAAGCCCACAATACATGATGGATTATCGATGTTTATTGGAATGACAGCTTTCCAGTGACGGTAACCAGGGTGAGCTTACGAATTAGTGGGAGCAGCGTCCTGGGTCCCTCCATCAGATCCTTGCGATATTTCTAGAAGTGAAATTCCAGCAACACCGAATACTTGAGCCAAAATCAGGACGGTGACAGCTGCAGCTCCCACTCCGCTTCCACGTCCCACTGACGCAAAAGCTCATCTGTATCAGTATTACTCCTAGATTTCATATTTGACGCGAGGGCAGTAAGAATTCTCTCTTTACATAATTGCCGTAGTTTTCCTGCAACCTGGTCCAGACGTGGAAACCAGAAGCTCTCCATTCTATTGATGTAGGATGGGGTATAATATGCGACAGCCCATCAATTCGGTAGCAAAGCATTCACCACAGAAGAAAACTACCAGTTGTTCTTGATGATTAGCATGGGGGATCTTCTCGGGTGACCAAAAACTAGAGACTCCTCCCTGGCCAACGAATGTCCCAGTCCGAGAAATTATACAACAAAAAATTGGATAATTCAATACCTCTGACCGCATCTGCCAGTTTTTTTTTGAGCCCCATTCGAGGTAGACCTTAAGTTATATTTTGTTAGTGGCATAGTAGCGTTAAAATTCTCTTGAGAATTTTACAAGGCAAGAAATTTCACTCGTTAGTGTATAGTCGGCTATAACGAAATGAAAGGCAAGCTGACACCAAGATCCCGATGATCACCGCAAAGTTTCTGACTCTGTCTTGGTTGGTGTCCATTATTGCCCTTACTAGGTTTAGTAATGTCTGCATCGTTCGCTTAAGTAAAGTTACTTTCTTTCTGTCACAATTTAATACTGAGCCTGAAATTACTATTTTTTTTTCTTAAGGTATTCCATAAATGATTTTAATAACTTTGTGAATACATAAGAGGTACCTGTATATTCTATCACTTTCCCTAACGGGTACCAAAATCCCTGTACGTATATATTCCAAATCTAGATTCGTTAAGAAAGTATCTTTACGGAGAAGCCTGATCCCAGTTCAATAGCCTAGACTTAAGTGTTATATCCCTATAAACAAACAGTCTTGAGGTAAGGAATCAAACGTGTTGACCCATCAGACTTGAGAGCAAGAAAAAGTTGGATAGGTGCTGATTTTTTAGCTCAACTTTTTTACTGATAGCAACACAGCTAAGCAATTCATAGATGGACTAATGAGATTCAGCTATGGCTAAGTGCTAAACCAGTCGCCATTTGAATGGCAAGTGACCACTTGAGTCCAACTCACGACTTTACCGCCACTCCTAAATCTCTGTCATTGATGATGAATACGCGTTAATGTCCATGCTGATCTACACACCTCATCTGTAATAGTGGGTTGATGTCAATACGTTGTCCGGCCTTTGGCCTACAGTTGCTGCTCTCTTTATCTTATTTCTATATAGAATTGACTTACTTGGTCAGACCTACACCGAAGCGCAAGATATGAACAATGTGACGCTACATATAGATAATGTTCTAATACCGTTCTGCGATTCTGTTAAAAATTTGGGTCTCATAATAGATTTTAAGCTCAGATTTAAAGAGCATATTTCAAAATATATACAAAGAGCGTTTTATGCACTCAAGCTGCTTTACCCTCATAGACACCTTCTTAGCAGAGACATCAAACGAATGCTATGCGAAACGTTGGTTTTGTCCCAGTTTTCGTATGGTGCTCCTGTCTATTATCCATGCTTGGATGCTGATACGATATCTAGAATTCAGCGTGTTCAAAATTCATGTATAAGGTACATTTTCGGTATAAGGAAATATGACAGAGTTAGTCATAAGTTGAAGGATTTACAGTGGTTGAACATGAAACAGCGTTCAGAACTATTAACACTATGTTTCTACAATAATATTTTGTCGAGCAAGTCACCGCCATATTTATATGAAAAAGTCATGTTTAGAGAAAGTCTTCATTCTGTCAATGTTCGTTCGAAACAGAATATTTCTGCTCCATTCCATCGAACATGTTTTTTCGAACGTGGCTTCTCTTACAATATCTATAAATTATACAACTCCATCCCCCAGCAAATCAAAAATATGAAAGGTTGCAAATCCAAGGCAGCTCTGAGACGATTCTTTTTAGATAAGTATAATTAACTTCACTGATAATACTGTAACATTTAGCTTTTTTGGATGAATCTCATGATTATATGATGGAATATTTTCAGTGTTATTTGTTTTTTGTACTCATGCTTTTTTTTCTGCTCTCATATAGTTAGTAGTAGTCATGTAACAGTTGATATCACTACTTTAAAATAGAGCAAGCGATGAGTGGAAGAGCACGCAGGTCGTGAACTCCCCCTTGAGATTCGAGAGCAATTATTCCTATTTGTTGAACACTATTTTTGTATGCAGTGTCTCTTCGAATAAAGCCATTTATTATTATTATTATTATTATTATTATTATTATTATATCACTGGAAGCCTCTGTCAGAGTACTCCTGAGTTCTTTGCTTTAATGTGAATATCTGCCAGCATGCACTAATCTTCCTTCTTTGAACCTAGAGGATGGAGTTTTGCCACTTGCAGTTAGTGAACACCTCGCATGTTGCTGTACACAGTCGAAGTGCGCATCCAAGCGTGCGACAATTTCTATTATGGCTTCCGTTAACTCAGGTTTCACCTTAGGTGGATAGAATGGAACAGAATTTATTCATCTATTGTCATCAACAAGATCTGCCCTCGAAATGTAAGCCTTGGAACAACGCGCGAACATTAATTATACTAAGGTCGCCGCATCATCGTGGTGATGCGTCATCTATTGAAACAGACCTGGCCTTTAAGACAACACAATCCATAGCGCGCTGCTGTTCGAGTGCCATCTATGCAAAATGTAACGTTAATCGGGCATAATGATATTTAACTGCCGTGATTACTCAACATCAGAACTTTGGTGGTTTCTTAACCGGAGATGCTCATGCGTACAGTCCTGTTCCATGGTTATCACCAGCCATGTGGAATTTGCGATCACAAGCAAACTGTAACTCTAGTCTACCATAGATGTACCTAATTTCTATATGTTGTTAATGAAAAATAGTACTTCGGCTGTTTCGTAACCTGTCATGAGGATATTATTGACCTGTTCGATGGCTATTCCAGACCGTAAGGAATTTGCTATCACAAGTAAAATGTAATGCTAGTCTCGCATATATGAACCTAATCTCTATTTGTTATTAATCCAAATGGTACTTCGGCAGTTTCCTAAACTGTCTTGTGCATTCTTATTATGCTGTTCCGGGGTTATCACAAACCAGATTAAATTTGCTATCACAAGCAAAAGAGAAAATATTGTTGACCATACCTTGTTGCTACGTTGTCCCAAACGCTTTCTGTGTTGTTATTTGTGCAACGAAGTTCAGTATTGAGTCATTTCTCCCAAACATCTTCATTCGTCCTTGGTGTGGACTATCACAATCTAGGTCCATGTTGCTATCCCAAGCAACCGAGTCCAATGTTACAACGTTATCCCAAATGTCTTCGTTCATCCTTGGTGAGGAGCTGACTATCCCAAGCTGGGTCCACGTTGCTATTCCAAGCAACCGAGTCTAATGCTTCCACGTTATCCCAAAGGTCTTCGTTCGTCCTTGGTGTAGGGCTGACTTTTCCAAGCCAGGTCCACGTTGCTATCCCAAGCAACCGAGTCCAATATTTCAGCGTTATCCCAAACGTCTTTGACCGTCCTAGGTATGAAGTATGTATGAAGCTAGGTCCAGGTTGCTATCCCAAGCAACAGTGTCAGAACGTTATCCCAAACGCCGTTGAGGCATCCATAGTAATATTCATTTAACTTGCACCTAAAACAGATCGGTTACCTGTTGGTGATGCCCCTTCAGAGAAAGAAGCTTGCGCGTCACTTTCTAATTTTGGTCGGCGGCGAAAGCAATCTCCAGGCGACGGTCGGTCTGTATCTCGTTCGACAATACACATCTATCGGCCAACCTTGTCTCCTGTTGTCTAATTCTAAATGTTCACCGGATCCTCCACACTGCACTGCACATAAACGAAGCACGCCGATTAACGTGTTGATGGTCGGGCACGAGAACAAGGAATGAACGTTTATAGGCGGCCAGAAACGAGAAAGGTAGGGGGAAGGGGCGCTTTGAAATCGTCACGGTTGGGTGCTACTACGAGGTTACTACGATATGTATTCTAAATATTTACTTCGACGAGGACGGAACATAATTGTTTTATTTCTTTTATTAAGCTCATGTTAGATTGATTTTGACCTACCTTGAATCTTGCATATGTTTTGACACCAAGAGACATCAAAAAGGCTAAGAAGATAGCAAATCCTAAAAATCTCAAACTTGTCACAAAATCATGCTAAATATGCAAATTTTAAAGTCCAACCGGACTTCTTAATTTCACCTCATTCATCTCCATTTTTTGCAGAATCGATTTGTCAACGTCGATAAATAATAAAGATCACAGAAACTTACAAATACTTTTTATTTAGTTTTCGACAATACAACGAACTCAAACTTACTGTTTCATTTCAGTTACAGAAAATGGAGAGATTTTGGCCAAAATTGATCAGCATGTAGATACCTCATATAAGGATGAAACGAAAAATTCAAAGGTAGAGTTCGAAGTGGAAGTGATTTCCAAAGGAAGCCATAAGTCTTTAGACCGTGTACTAGAAGATCCAGGACACCTGCCCACGACGTTCAAGGATTCACAAGAGCACCAACAAGTGCTAGACTCGAACACATTATCGGACAGTTCCGACCAGGTAATAAGCTGACTTTAGATTAATTCAGATGTTGAAGCTGTTAATCTGTTGTTGAAACAGCATTTACTAAATCGGGCTAACCAGCCAATAATTGTTGCTTCTGTTAAAAAAATTATATAGAATTTTGTAACGTTAGTAAAATAGTAGAGTTATATATCTGAAGCTGATAGATAAACAGTCTATTTTAGTATGACAACACTATTTTACCTTACTATGGTATGAAAATATCGTGACCGACATATGATCATATCAGCTCTTAAGAGATATGAAATAGCATTTGAAAACTTCCCACCACGGATTTATCGAAAACCACTGATTAAAAGAAAAAACGCCGAGACACGTAAAAGATTTGTCAATTGGGACAACTTTTCAACCAGAAACTACTTCACCTCCTTTCACCCTCGGCCCCCAGGACCATTCCCTTAAAAATTTTAAATGACAAGGGACATCGAGTAATAGCTTGTTTGAAAGTTCGTTCGAAGTCCTTTATTTTGACGTTTGATTTTTCAAATCAGTCGATTCGTTTTCGACAAAATTGTAAAAATCTTTATTGTTTTTGATGGTACAGGAAGAGGCTCCTCATCTACAAATACAAAAATATGGCTGAGTAACTTCTTTACAAAATTAAAGTTGGAAAAATTACTTTTATCCCGTAGATTTAAAACTATGAAGTTCGGTGAACGGGGTCTACAGAAGAATGGTGATGGTCTAAAAGACATTCAAAATGATGTAGTATATGGTAACGGTACCTTGTCCCCTAAACGGTTTCGCATATTAATTGAGCTACGTTTGCTTTAGAGTCGCTGGTAATACCGATGTTGGCTGCCTTGCAAAAGTATAAGCGAGAATAGCTGTAGAAGGCTCTAGTTTTAGTACGATATAAATTTGAACTGGCTAACCAGAACTCTTGTACACAATTGTTATGAATTACAGCAGACCCCAGGCGGTTTTTACACGGAGGTGGTTGTTTCATCGGGTGCGCATCTAAAAAAATATATTGACCCATTTCTTCACCAATGTGGAATGCCTGTAGTATCTAGCTGAAGAGTATTGATAACGTGAATTTCTATTTTAATACTGTAAAATTTACTTCAGTATGCATTGCTGCAATAACAGTATTTTTTCACGAGAAGCGAGCACTTTATTCAAGATAACGAAAATCTCCAACGTAATATGTGCATTATATGTATTTTTCAGGACAAATCGTACAGTCCTAAAGCTGTTGGTTACTCTCCGAAAGACGTGGCTGAATACGTGTTTTGGACCGGTGACGAAAAAGGTGTTACTTCCGCTATAGAGGAATTCCTGCAAGGAGGCCTGGTAAGTTACTCGATGTTTATCTGAATTATAAATATCTAGTTTAGTGATTTGAATTTTAAAATGTATCTTATTTTTATTTCCAGCGAAAAAAATATTTCAGCCAGGTAAAACCGTAATTTGTAATTTAATTTTAAAGTAGTTATGCAATATACAAATATCACTCCATTACTGAAAGGAGTATAAATACAGGTATAATCACAACATAAATTTGTTAAAATATAAATTAAATCAAAAACAAAAAAGTCACGCGCCGTAGCTTGTGAGACTTGCGCCTTTGTGTAGTAACTTATCATACATATGTTATATGCTAAAATTATTTCATTTATAGATAGGATTTCATGGTTATTAATTTTTAGGATGTTAATAAAGACTTTCTTATTTATCTTTAAAATCCTGTGCGGTATTTCCTTGGTTTATACAGGGTGTTCCATAATTATTGCGACAAAATGATAGGGGTTGTAGAGGGCATCAAAATGAACAATTTTTCCTTATAAACCCCTGTTCGGAAACATGCCGTTTGGGCTGCAGCAAAAAAAAAGATCAGTTTCTTGAAACAGCTTACCTACAGTAATTGCTCAAAGTGTCCTCCACCTTGCTCAATACACACCTGTGCACGATTGTTCAATGATCGGCGAACTCTGTGGCATACCCCCGGTATGTCCTGAACATGTGCGGACGCGGCCATCACTCTTCCCAGTAGCTCTTGTTGGTTGGGAACAGGAGTTTCGTACACTAAAGCTTTCAGATAGCTCCAGATAAAATAATCCAGTGGAGTCAGGTCAAGTGACCGCGCAGGCCAAGGCACAGGGCCACCTCGGCCTATCCACCTATTTGGAAATTTGTCGTCCAAAAACTGCCGCACTTGTAAAGAAAAGTGGGCTGGACCGCCATGGTGTTGAAACCACATGTTGGCTCTTATATTCAGTGGCACATTTTCTAATAGTTCCGGTAGCACATGCTGTAAGGATCGACCATAAGCATGCCCTACCAAACGTGGTGGAAGCAGATATGGCCCGATGATATGCTCGTCCACAATGCCGCACCAGATGTTAATTGAAAACTGATGTTGGTCTCTATGGATGGCTATGGCATGAGGGTTTTCTTCATCCCAAATGTGACTGTTACGGCTATTAAAATAACCGTCCTTTGTAAAACAGGACTCGTCAGTGAACAAAACGTAGCGACCAAAGTTTGGTTGCCTCAACTCCTGCTGCAGCCACCAAAGACAAAAACGTCGACGCGGCAGATAGTCTGCTGGACCCATGGCTTGGACTTTTAAAAGGTGGTACGGGTGTACGATCACAAAAATGTAAACACAGCAGGCTTTTTCTACAAACCGGCGAGACCATGAAATGTGCTAGACGAACATTTTGCAGCTGGTGAATTTTTTGTTTCTCCTATGAGCTCTTAAGGTAAAATTAACTGTAGTGCTCAAACGGCATATTTACGAACAGGGGTTTATAAGGCAAAATTGCATATTTTTATGCCCTCTACAACCCCTATCATTTTGTCGCAATAATTATGGAACACCCTGTATATGCTGTAAAAGTAGTGTCAGATAGTTTGCCAAGACGGTGGGCATAATGCTTTTGTGAAAACCCGGTTTGCTTGTATATTTCTGGATATTGGCCGAGCATGCACGTCACACCTGTAATTACAGTATTCTAGGTAATTATTCATATTTGCTTTTACTTTTGGTAAGATTTGACATAAACCGTTTGAATAAATTAACGGAATATACAGATAGAACATATTTGAAGTTAGGCTAGCTACGGTTCAAAAAGTCACCACAAAAGCGGTCCCACCTACGTCATGCAACTGTGAAGTAAACTTATCCAGTCTTTTGCTGAGGCTCATGTTGTTGCTCTTAATATCACGACAGTTCGATCAGCTGTAGTATGCTGCCCTCTTATGCAGACCATACTATGGCCTCCCCGGGAAGCTTTGCAGATGGAGGGCAGGTTTCGACATTGTTCCCGTTACATATCAGCGGCCGTCTTTTCTGTGCACCCCCATTGACCTGGAGGTCATCAGTGCTTGGGGACGCAACAATCTTGTACAGTTTAATGCTTCCGAAGCACAGTACTGTACCTTGACTAACTAATAGTCCCCTAGCGCTCATCCGGTTTCGATGGATGGTCGAGTTCTGCTAAACAGCTGTTCATGTCGTCAATATCCGCAGCTGCTGGAAAAAAGCTAGGCTATTTTTTAAGGCTAAGAAGTACTCTTCTCCGCATGACCTCGTCACTTCATACAAGGACCAGATAAGACCTAGCCTCGAGTATTGCTGACACGTTTGGGGTGCTGCCGCCCCGAGTACATTATTTATACTCGATGCTGTCCATAGGAGGGCTGTCCAACTGCTCGATGAGTCTTCTCTTACAAACAGTCTCGGGACACTGTCGGATCGGCGGGCCGTCGGCGATCTAGCTCTCTTCTACCGCTACACCAACGGGCTTTGCTCCTCAGAACTCTCCGTTATGATGCCGCGGCGCGTTGTGCCTGTCAGACAGACCCGCCTAACTTCTGCTTCCCATCCTAACCTTGTCAAGATTGTGGAACAATCTACAAGAGGAAGCTTTTCCCAGTTCGACTAACCTTCAGCTGTTCGAAAATCGGATTAACAAAATTTGTTTGGGAGCCCCATAGCAGTCACGGTGACCTGGCATTTAGGCTTCGGCTTGCACGGCTGCTTCGGTATAAAAAAATATTTCACATATCTCAGATTTCCCCAACAGGCATGGACTAATTATATGGACCTGTTTGAATGACTTCATCCGTTTATTTTGTCTGTTGTACAAGTTCGTAACTATTTTTTTCTTAGAGGGTTTAGCTTGTGTTGAACACAATGCTGAATGAACTGATGACGGCGTTATGTAGGCAATGCAGACCCAACCTACTTAACGTCATTTCTTGGAAATCTCGTAGTAGTGCCGATACAAATCAATGATAATCATTTTACAGTGATACTAACATACAGTCAAAATATTTCAGCACACACTATATAAATCGCCGGACAGGTTGGCGGATGTACAGTCTGGCGAAAATCAAAAGTCTATTAAACAAGGTTTAAAATAGCTTCAAATTGAAATAGGTCGGAAATACTCCTTGAGATCTTACAGATGCAGGTGTTTTAACCGAGTTTTTGAGTATTGAAAATGTCAACTTTAGAGAAAAGACATTTTTTGTTTATAAAGATTCAGAAAACCTACAAAATAACTGCTCCTGAGGCGGAAAAACATTTTTTGTGATATGTTTACAAACATGATTGAAAATCCCGCTTGACAACCTCTTAATTAATGTTAAAGGGCATCCAAACAACGCGGGTATGCTTATGTCTCATCTAATATCCCAGCATATGTCCATAAATGATCACTAGATATCGTGAAAGTCACTAACTGTCAGCCTGGAATAAGCAATTGTAGCTGATAAACAGGTTTCTCACATTTTCCTTAAACTTTCTTCTAAAGTTACAAATCACAAAGAACATTTTGATAATGTTTATTATGGTATTCGTAACTGAATACTGAAGGAGTGACATTGGCCGTGTGCGACTGATCTAGTCACATCATTTTTAAATGATCATGAAGACTGGCGAAGCAATAAATTTTCACTCAAAATTGAGAATTTCGTCTCATTGAATCTATCGGCTACGCCATCAGCAGAAAACGAAGAAGTCCTTTGCAATGTATTTTCCAGTTTTTCATTCTGAATAAAAAAATCAGTGCTCGGTAGCTTTTCCCTGTTTGATCGCTTTCGAGTTCTAAGCGATTTAGTGTCTGAAAATCAAAAAAATATGCATATTGAAGGCGTCAAGTCTCGATTGAAAATTATTATATTTGAGGTTGCCTAGTGTATAAATTTCAGGCATGGTTTGATCTAAATCGATGTTCAGTAGGTCTGGTAGGTGAAGAAATGGCGAACTTTCGATTTTCATTTTTATTGTAGTGCCCGGAGTAGGATCAATATTTCAAAACAATAATTCAATGATGGAAGCAAGTCACATACACACTTGTAACTGAGACTCATTAGAATATATTTTACTATGAACCCATGGGAATCAAATTTTGCGCCTATGCAGCTATAGCACAAATTGGGCTAATGAAAAGGCATCTTAGTAGTAGTCTAAGTACATAATGGATCCATTGGATCAAATGAATTTGGTCGATTTCTTTTAAGATATATCTTGAACTAGCGAAAAATTACGTGCGTGATTTTTTTTAATATTGGCCCCTGATTCACATATTAAAACAAAAAATGCTTCATAAATCACCTGTTTAGCTACAAAAACATATTTTCTGTGACCGGACATTGAAGTTGAGACAAATTCCATCAATCGAAAAGGATCTGTGGCCTACTCCAAACGTGGATCAAACTTGATACAACAGATTGACATGACGCTATTACTGAACATTTTATTGAAAAAAGCAACGTCTCGCTGTTGCTGTACATCCACTACTTCAGAGACGCCTCAGCATTTTGGCGTATACTCATGGAATTGCAGTCGATACCGGCTAACCCCAAAATACTGATTTCAGATTTATCGTGATTTTGGACAACTTTCTCAAAAAAAAACTAAAAACTTTCGCCGAGTATTAAATTTTATCTGATTAACATAAAAATCGATCGATCGCCTGCGAATCAAGACCAATTTAATTTGGTTTGGTTTTTGAGAACCCAAGTCAGTCATACAAACCGTTGCATTTGCAGATTACCTTTCAATGGTACTTTTCCCTACGCTTGCCGGAACAATCAGATGAAACACAGTCCTACGTGCACGCTGGGTTTTTTAGTTAGTGGTGCAGAGAGCAAGATTTATGTTGAAAATTTTGCTCAGTTGTCAACTTGAGTGTCGTTTCCGCCTAAAGAAAATAAATCTATACCTCACTTGATTGATGCTCCCAAATCCGCAATAATGATTAATAAGTTTGGGACTATGAAAGTGTTATGTTACACTGGAATACGTTAGCTCGAAAGGTTTATTCTTGCTAACAAATAGT